AGCCAAAAGTAAGTAAGTAAATACATAAATTTAAAAGGTAGGTAGGGCCAGACCCTGGAGTTCTCAGAATTAAGTGTAAACCCATTAGTCATATATTCTGTAGACATGAAGGACTTATAAGATTTTAACCCTGGTTCTTTTGTTAAAACCTATTCCTCTCTTCTTTGGTTCAGTGCTCAATAAAAAGTATTAAATAAGGAACGCCTGGTGCCCATTTTCCCCTGTAGTATCCTGCTACTCTTCTAATGTGCCTTCACATGGATCCTCTTATTAGAGGGAAAAATTGAAGTTCTTAAGGGCTACACAACTGCTAGATATGTAAACTGATAAACTTACAGAGATCTAGTTAATACAAAACTGTTACAATTTGAACTGGAGACAATTTTTCCTTAAAATCACTCTGTTCCCCCCCACAGCCCCACCCAATCTCAAAAGAAGTGGAACAGAAAGATATGCCATTAACTAAAATCTAAGGGCACACTGTTTCCTAAGTTCAAACTTAAAAACGGAAATCCATACAAAATCTGATTATAATGAAAGGAAAATTATAATCTGTCTTGTGGATATATATGCAAAAATTCTAAACAAAATGTTAGCAAATCAGATTCAGTGTTGTATAAAAAGGCTAATAACATCACAACCAAGTTGGACTTATTCGAAGAATGTAAGTCCAAAGAAGAATGTAAGGTTGGTTTAATAGTTGAAAATCAATACTTCAGTACATTAACAGAATAAATGAGAAAATTGTGACAACTAAAATTGTCTCCAGACATTGCCAAATGCCCCAGGGAGGGTAAAATCATCCCCAGCTGAGAACCACTGCAATAAATGAAGAAAAAGCCTTTGACAGAGTTCAAAACCCATTCATTATTTTAAAGACAAACACACTTAGCAAACTAGGAATAGAAGACAGCTTTCTTAATCTGATGAAGATCATCTTTTAAAAACCTACAGCAAACATTGTACTTAATGGTGGAATATTGAAAGCTTTCTCCCCAACATTGGGAACAAGATGAAGATGCCACTTCTGTTCAGCTAACTGGAGGACCCTGGTGGTACGATAAGGCAGAATGAAGAAAATGAAAGGCATGAGGAATGGAAAGGAGGAAATAAAAACCTCTCATTTATAGACACCACTGTTTATGTAGAAAACTGAAAAGCACCTACAGATAAACTGTTAGTACTGTGCAGCAAATTTGTTAAATTTGCTTATTTCAAGATCAGTATATCTTGTATTTCTATAGACCAGAAACATTTAGAAAATGTTCAAAGTGATGCCATTTCTAATAGCATCGCAAAACATCAAATACCTAAGAGGAGAGATAACAAAATCTGTAAAATCTCTACACTGGAAATTACAAGATATTATTGAGAGAAAATAAAGAACCGGATCAAAGCATATCAAATGTTAGTTCATCAGTATTACCCAGAGGGTCTGTTGAAAGAGATTGAAGGCCCAATCCCTTAAAGTTTCTGATTCAGTAGATCTGAGATGGGGCCCAAGAATTTGTATTTCTAACAAGTTCATGGGTGCTGCTGCCACTGCTGGGTGAAGGACCACACTTCAAGAGCCACTAATCTAAATAGGTATACCATACGGATAGAAAAAATATTGTGAGGCATCAGTTCTACTCAATTTGAAGAACTTCCATGAAGTCCAATCAAAATCCCAGCATGGGTGTGTGTGTATATTTATGTGTATATGGAAACTGACCAGCTGATACTGGAAATAAAAAGGGCCAGCACAGACTTAAAGAACAGCAAAACAGGAGGGCTTCAAACTCGGGACACACTATAATGTTATAATTAAAACAGTGTTTTATCATTGTACAAACAGACAAGTAGACAAATGAACAGAAAAGAGAATCTAGAAACAGATGGACTCATGACCTGTCACCTGATTTACAACCAAGGGGACCTGCAGTGGGGAAACGATAGTCTTTTCTTTTTATTATTTTTTTTATTTGGCTGCATTGGGTCTTCGTTGCTGCACACGGGCTTTTCTCTAGTTGCGGCGAGCAGGGGCTACTCTTTGTTGCAGTGTGCAGGCTTCTCATTGCGGTGGCTTCTCTTGTGGAGCATGGGCTCTAGGCGCGTGGGCTTCAGTAGTGTGGCACGTGGGCTCAGTAGTTGTGCTTCGTGGGCTCTAGAGTGCAGGCTCAGTAGTTGTGGCGCACAGGCTTAGCTGCTCTGAGGCATGTGGGATCTTCCTGGACCAGGGCTCGAACCTGTCTCCCCTGCATTGACAGGCAGATTCTTAACCACAGTGCCACCAGGGAAGTCCCGAAACGATAGTCTTTTCAAGCAGTTTTGCTGGAACAGTTGGGTATCAGTGTAGGAAACAGTGAATTGTGACCTCACACCATACACAAAAGTTCTTTCTGATGAATTGTAGCACAAATATGGAAGTTTAAAAACAACCATGCTTTTAGAATAAATAAAAGCAGGTGAACGTCTTCATGACCATGGAGTAGGTAGTGGTGTCTTAAATAGACACAAAAAGCTCTAAAGAAAAGACTGATACATTGTACTACACTAAAATTAAGGACTAGTTACCAGAAGACCCCCATTAACAGAGAGAAAAAGCAAGCCACTGGGTAGGAAAAACTATTTGCACTAAATACACCCACAAAGGATTTGTATCAAGTATGTATAAAATAACTCCTACAAATTATTTCTTTAAAGACAACTTGATAGAAAAATAGGCAAAAGACTTGAACAGGCACTTCATAAGAGGATCTCCAAACAGCCAATTAAGTATTATGAGGAAAACAATCTCAACACTGCTGTCTTCTTGGGAATGTACTGAATATCAGAAGGAGATGCAACCACATGCAGGGCCATGCACCAACCAGTGTGTGTTGGGCCAGCCGCTTGGGAGAACTCTTAGGCTATGTCTACCAAAGCAGACACGTATCTTATGACCCAGCAGTTGTATATAGGTATATATTGCTTCTCTTCCCAGCAGTGTTCTGTTCTGCTACCTAAGCCATGCGGTAGGTATCTCTCCCCAGCAATATTCTGTTATTCCTATTTACTGAACCCATGCCATGGACAGTCCCCTTTTCCTGAGTGGACTTCCTTCAGGATTCAGCTAACATGGCCAAGCTAGTTTGAGAAATTTGCATGTGTTCTTGTGCTAATCATCCCCCAAACAAGTATATACTGTGCCTGAAACTAAAGAAAAGTCTCTAAACCTCTGGACACTGCAGGCTTGTGATGGGCCTGGACAGGTGGGCATTTGAAGACCTCTCAGATCATGGTATGAAGTGCATTATTCTATACCACGTGGACCAACTCATAGTCACCTTTGCTTCCACTATATTTTTTCCTGTTGTTTTATCAAAATTTATTTTCATCGTAGAGACTCAAATACTTTTATAAGGTTTATAAAAAGCATTAGTCTTACTTGTACCCCTCCCCCCATTTCCGACTCACTGGAGGCAACGACTTTTAACTCATTCCTGTTTGTTATTTACCTTCATTTTCCCCCACTATTGACATTTTATCCTTTCAGTACTTTTTGTATTTGTGGATATATGAAGTATGCATATATTGATATTTAAATCAAGGCAACTCTTGCTTATCTGCATTTTTTTTCACTTAACACTATATTCTTTTGAAAACACCATTTAAAATGGCCGTATAATATTCCATCTGTGAATGTGCCCTGATTTGTTCAACCATACCTTTATTGTTGGACATTTTAGGTGGTTTCTCATTTTCTTGCTACCATAAATACTGATATAATTAGTATACCTGTGGGTGTGGGGGTGTGTGTTGCTACAGAGGAATTGACTCACAGATACATGCTTTGTCTCATAACTTTAGTTTTTCCTGTGGTTGATAATTGCTTTGGTTTTATTTGCTTTCTTTGTTCATGTTCTGTGTGGCCCCATGGCTTGCTCTGTTCACTGCACAGCTGACATCCTGGGGACAGCACTGTTATCCTGGGGTTCCCTCCGCTTTCTCTCATTCTCTCCTATATTCTGGCTCCCAGGTTTTTCTTCTTGGCTCCTCCCTTGTCTAGGGGAACAGCCCTACCTCCACTCCCCTGCAGTAGCTTCCTGAGAAAGGCACGCATGGGAGATCTGCTGGTTAGACCTTGTGTGTCTTAAAAACACCATTATTGGGACTTCCCTGGTGGTGCAGTGGTTAAGAATCCACCTGCCAATAATGCAGGGGACACAAGTTCGAGCCCTGGTCCAGGAAGATCCCAATGCCGCAGAGCAACTGAGCCCGTGCATCAAAACTACTGAAGCCCACGCGCCTAGAGCCCGTGCTCCACAACAAGAGAAACCACCGTAACGAGAAGACCGCGCACTGCGACGAAGAGTAGGCCCCGCTCGCCACAACTAGAGAAAGCAGCAACGAGGACCCAACGTAGACAAAAATTAATTAATTAATTAATTGAAAAAAAACCCACCATTATTCTACTCTAACTTTAACTTGATTATGTATGAATTCTAGTCCTGAATTCATCTGGAATTTTAAAGGAATCACAACATCGTCTTCTGGCTTCCAAAGCTGCTGCTGAGAAGTCTGTTGCTGTTCTGACTCCTGATGTTTTGTTATGTGACCCGTTTTCCACTCTGGAAAGCTTTTAGTATCTCGCCTCGTCTCCCATGGCTGAAATTTCAATGGATGGGCCTTGGCATAGGTCTGTTTTATTCCTGTTCATCAGGTTATTCTCATGACCCTTTGATCTGGAAACTCACATCCTTCTGTTTAAGGACATTTCCTTGAATAATTTTACTGTTTACTTTGATCATTTCTTCCCCTCTATTTTTCCTCATTCCTCTTTCTGGAACACATTATTCAGATGTTGGCCCTCCCACTCGTATTCTCTAGTTTTCTGTTTAAAAAAATTTTTTTGACTTTTTGTTGTACTTTTCCGGTTTCTCTACTTTATCTCTAGGTTTCTATTTCATTTTTTTCTGTCATAGTTTTAATTTCTAAGAGCTCTTTTCTGTCTTCTAGTTTTTTAAAATAGCATCAGATTCTTGTTTATGGTTTCAGCCTCTCCTCTGATCCCTCTGAGGATGTTCATGATCATCTTTTTGGAATTTTCACCATTCTGCATAGTTTGTTTCTTGCAAGTTGCCTTTTTTTCCTTCTTATCTTGTTTTGATGTGTCTTTCATGTTAAAGGTTTTTCTCAGCTGCTCGGTGATCATTAGCTATATGAACACACTTAAGAGCAGAATGTTAAGAAACTGATTAAGAATTCTGTGCTGGGGTTTGTTGACGGTGATTTCACTGGTAGAGTGATCTTGCTGAGCTGTTTCCCTGGGGAGCCCACGGTGTCCACCTCTTAGCTCTTGGACCATTCACTTCCCCAGAGAAGACCCTTCCAATCCTCTGTCCAGAGGGTCAGTGTGATTCCCTGACTCCCAGTTTTCAGAACGGTTCTTTACCATGAACTTGGCTTGATGCCCCCCGGCTTTACCTTCTTTAAGAATAAACATCTAGTTTTCTGCCTGGGTGACCTGATTGCTTCTCAAAGAGACTCTCGTCCAGTTGTGCTCTTTTCAATGTCATCTTAGGCACACTTCCAGAACTGCCCAGCACCTCCCCGACGCTGTGCTGAGCCTCGTGAGGGCTCTCCACCACAGCAGGTTGATTTCGGCCCCACCCCCAGCTGCTGACTAAGATTCACCTTTCTTGGATTCTCTGAGTCAGTCACCACCTGTCCTTCTGCTGTCTACCTTCCCAAATGTTGTTGCTATCACCTCATTTCCTATATTTGTTTTTGTGACATGTATCTTTAAAAACAGATAAAGCCCATTTTTGTTTTAGTGAGGTTTCTGGAGGGAGAGGAGATAAATATGTGAGTTCACTCCACTGTCTTTAACTAAAGATCCCCCCATTGCTATTACGGGGAAACCAAGCACATCTGTTAGCAGTAAGTTGAAAAGACCTCTTCCAAGGAGGTACTGAAGAATTGCTTTCTTGTCATTGACTCATGAGGAACAAAAGTGTCTAAGATCCGTAATCTGCTACACCTTTTGGACAAACTTCTTTCTCATGCAAGTCGAATGGTGAGGGACACACAGGCAGAGGTGCGCCAGCAGGGTTGCCTGGATGGTGCACTCTCCCCAGACGGGAAATTGGAGGATGCCGTGAATTCCACCCCAGGCTCTGTATTGATCCCTACATTGTTGTGGGGTGTTTTCCCTTCAGTGAAACCACTGTTGCTTTCATTCCTCATGTCCAAACCTTTTGTACAGGATGATGAGAGCCTGAAGTACCTCACACATGAGGAAAAGGACGTCCTCCTGTTTTTTGAAGAGACGATTGATTCCCTGGAAGACGACTTTGAGGAACAGGTGCTGTGTGATGGTGATGCTCAGTGCCACTCTCCGCGGTCTCTGGAAGAGAGCACTTCTGGTCCCTCCGAGCCAGAGGACGTAGTGGACTTAGTGCAGCTGGGCCCTGGAGCCGGGGAACCCGAGAGCCTTCAGGATGTGACGGAGGCAGCAGGTGAGGACCAGAGAACAGGTCCCCCACCTCTGACGTGGCTTGTCGTGTGGTACAAGACACAGAGCCCCTCCTTTCTGTCGTGTTCTCTGTGTTTCCAGCCAGTATAGTAGTTCGTGGGGCTGATCAGATTTTTGTAGGGTAGAAGCATCCTCTTGGTAGTCTGATTGTCCAACTAAATAGGTGCTTTCGTGGCATATTAGGATGAAAACACATGGAAGGGAAATTTCAAAAGGGCGAGAATAAAGAATGAGACTAATTGGGCAAACAAACATTGCGTACATGGATAAAAGAAAAAAGAAAACTGGAAATGGCTTCAGGAAACAATCCCATTCTACAAAGAAAATATACAAAGGACTTGTACTTTAGCCTTTGAGGTTCAATCTCAATTCTTGTGCAAGGTTATACCCCTATTCCAAGGTGGGAGTGTTTGAACTGAAAAGTCAGCTGGTTCAGGAAAACAAAAATGATCAGAACAAAAATTCAGCTCAGCATCTGCTTTGTAAAGTTTGCTTGATTCAGGGTGGCATCAGAGGAGAGATATGCTTTTTGCCCCTTGAGTTCTGTGATAGAACCAGAGGGACATGGACAAGGAGAAAACGTTCTTCCAATTTTTTTTTTTCCTGGTTGGAAAAGATATTGGAAATGTGGACAAGGGGATAAGGATTGGAAAAGATGAGGGGAAAATAGGATGGAAAATATCTTTGCTCTGTTGACTACAAAATACTTCCATTTGTCACAAGCCTCTAAAAATATATCCCCACCCCTTTATTTTTTGTAAACAAGGCTGTGTATTACACAGAATTTCATGTACTATTGGTTATATGTTCCAAATATGGGGCTGAGTTTGCAGCCATCTCTTCAAAGAAGAGACTTAATATGAACTTCCCCTTTTTATCACTTCTTCTTTGAAGTTTAGTTCCTAAAATTAATTTGAACCACTGATCCCTTAAAAATGTCAGATCATATAATTGTGCCAAGGAAAACATTTCTTTGAAAGTAAGCCACTTGCCCATCAGTTCTCTAACATGATGTTTTCATAACAACTTTAAGTGCCCACTCTGTGGCAGGCATTGTGTGAGATTCTGAGGATACAAAGATAAATATAATACATAGCTCCCAATTTTGCACCAGACACGGGTGTATAAATACTAGTGCAGAAAAGTGTTAGGTGATCTGTGATCACGTATGTTAGGATATAGTAAAGAATCATAGGCTGGTGTATTAAACTGTACTGGAGGCTGTCAGGAAACATTTCTGTTTCTAGAGGAAAGTGACACATCCAATTATCCTTCATCTAGAGAGACCTGAGGGAGGGGTTGGTGGGTACCACAAACTTCCCAGCCTCCATTTCCCCTCTGTAAAATCCCCCATAAGGTAAGCTGTTGTTTCCTCCTGTTACATGTCTCAGGATGATGGCTCCTTAGAAACTTGCATTCATCATATGCTTCCCAGTTACTGACTGTTTCTGGCTTGCACATCTTTCACCACTGCTAATTCATTCTTTCTCGTCAGGTGATTATGAGAATCATATACTATGTTCTCTTTCGCTAGTCCAGGGAATAGGGTAGAGGGAGTTTAGCTTACAAGAGGTACCGCTGAAACTGGTATTGAATCCCTTTGAGACCTTTGTAAATTCAGTGAAAAGGAAACGTAATGCATTTATTTCTGCATATGGTGGTAGCTTATGAGGATCCTTGCTACTTTTCAGGGGCTGGTGCTGTTGGAAAGGAAGACACCCCTGTCCTCAGGAAAGAGGATGCTGAGAAGTCTCCCCCTCCAGACCCCCCAGGTCCCGAGGCCCTGCCCCTGCCGCCTCCCAGCCCTGTCCCCGCAGCAGCCCCGGCCCACCCCGGGAGAGAGCCCCCTCCTACTCCAGCAGAGCACCCCAAACTGGCCCGCTCGGTCCCCACTCCGCTCGTCCTCGCCCAGAAGATGTCTGAGAAGCTGGCAGGGAACGAAGGGCTCTCGCCCACATCCCCGTCCAAAGAGGGCAGGCCTGCAGGATGGAGGACGCTGACTTCCGTGGCCCCTCGACACGGAGACCACTCGCTGTGGCACAGACACGCCGCACAGCCGGCGCCCAAGATCCACCGCTTCCCGAGCAACATCAGTGTGACCAACAGCGCGGGGAAGGACTTCAATAAGACCATCTCCAAGGCCGCGGTCAACGTGCAGGAGCGCAAAGCCCAGGTCCTGGCCAACATCAATGGGGTCTCCTTCCTCTCCGTGGGGGAGACGGAGGACCGGGCCCAGAGGAGCGAGCCCACCGAGCAGAGGAGAAGCATCTCCCCGGAGCAGAGCCAGCCGGCCCCGGCCCGGGAGGCTGTTCCCGCGCGGGCAGGGGCGCACGGCGGCCAGCAGTCCAGAGGCGTGCAGACGGAACAGCCCCTGCCGATGGCCAACGGCTTCCAGAGCCTCCACGACATCCTCAAGAGCCATCCCGGGCCCTTTGTCTCTACAGGGAAGACGGTCACCTTCCGTCCGGACCCGGCCCTCCCCAGCAAACTTGCACCCCGGCAGCCGGACTGCGGCCAGGACGCCAGGAAGCGGTCGGGCTCGCTCCCCCGGGCTGTGGGGTTCAGACCCCAGGGCATCACTGTCCAGTTCTCGGGCCGGGGCTCCACGGAGGAGGCCCGTCGGGAGGCCCTGCGGAAGCTCGGCCTCCTGAAGGAGAACTTGTGACGGAGAGTGGGCGGCGCTGGGGGAGTTAGGGTGACCAGGTACGTGTGGCCGAACATGGATGTGCGCATGCGCACAGCACAGAGCAAAGCCCGGACTGCGGAACCCCATGGAGGACCAGCGATGGGGGCCCGGGAGTCAGCCGACTGTCTGCCCCGCTCTGGCCCGCATCCGAGCTGGGACATCCTTCCGAACAAGAGCATCCCGCACCACATCTTCCCGTTTCCAAGAGCTCGGAGAATAACCTTGAACACCTACAGGTTTCAATGATTTGTAAATGCCATATGTTTTTTGGATCTAGGAGGAGGGGGATTGGGTCTGAATTTTCTGTTATTGAGTCTCTAATCTAACCTTTTATCCGAAGTGCATGACACGAAAGCCAGTTTAGATCTCTCATACTCGTTTCTCTAAGAGAGGGACCGTCCCCTCCTTTCCAAGAAAATAAAGAAGTGCTTGTTCAATTTTCATAGTGTCTTAAAATACTGTTTTGGTTTTTTGTTTGTTTTTGAAAGGTGAAAGACAGTATGTTAGCCTAAATATGCCTTTGTTTCTTCGTCTAATTTGGTTTGCCCAGATTTTTTTTAATTGAAAATTGAAGCCTTTAGAGTATGATTTACTGTAACGTTGAGTTATGGGAGTGGAATGGAAAGGTTGAGTTTGGAAAAGGTGGTAGTTTTAAGAAAGTAAGTCTCATCAGACTACAGAGTCTGTGTTACTGGGAGATATACATATGAGTGTGTACTGTGTATATACATGTACATAATATGTGTTTATAGGTACATATATGTTATATACAGATATAGATGATGTGCACACACACATTCATTATTACATATATATATAAACTTCTTAAAACCCTATTACATAACTACAGGATGCAAGCACTTCCTATTCTTTTGATACACAAGCCATCTCAGTATTGAGATAATGACATAGAAATGGTTACTTCCTAATAAGGAAGTCTTTTAAGGACACATCTCCATAACTTTTCGTTGAACCAAAGTACTTTTTCCTCAACGTGTTCTGTTCCCAATTAAATAGTCCAAATAAGCTTCCAACTAAGCAAGAGAGTGTCTTTGTTAGTGAAGTATGCTTTTAAAGATGTCATTTATCACCTAATTTTAGTTTTGCATGTTCCAAGGTGGCTGGTAAACAGAAGGAAACAAAAGATTCTTAACATCCCCCATGTTCTGTGAGCAAGATCTCAGGATTAATTTAAAAGGGAAAAAACAGCGAACTAAGTTACACAGCATGAAAAGAACTGGTTTTGTCCCAGACAATGTCTTACATGCTGAGTTGTAGCCACAAGCATTATTATCAAAACTATTTCAGGCTGGAGTCTAAAACCTCTTAAAATAGACCCGGAAGGACCACACTTGAAAGTCACACCCTTTTGTTGTATGTCTCAGCCACTGTCACAGAATCTGTTTCTTTCCTGTTGAGTATTATTTAAACTCAAACTCCTAAATGTGCTGTGAAGGACGTTTTTCATAGTATTAATTTGCCTTGTAAGTTACATAAAATGATTGTAATGTTTTCCTTAGAACGACAGTATTTAGTGTCTCGCCCAGGTCTTGTCCTCCTGAAATAATCTCATAGATTCTTGATGGTCTTCATTTAAATGGGTGCTTTGATTTTACAGGTTCTTAAAAATAGTCTTTATTTTACTCCTGTTTATGTTGGATTTGTTTAAAGGATTCTTGGGCCCTGTTATTTCCTTTTTATATAGCGAGATGCCATGTTACACAGTGTTTAAAAATAGAGGATCTTGATATGGCTAACATTTTAAATATCCCTTGTATTTGAGGATTCTTTCTTTTTTTCTTATCCTATGACTTCGTTGTGATTAAGGTGAACTTGACTATATGTTAGTATATTTGTTCTCATAATGGCATTTTTGAAAAATAAATTTAGAGATCTATCTTAAGTATAAGCAACTTTGTTTTTGCATTTTATACTTATTCTCAGGTATTTTCTTTTAAATGGTTATATCCTTTCCTTCTGTTTATTCATAATCTTTTCTACCTACTTATTCATAATTATACTGACTGTTACTCTGGCCATTTCTTGTGCCCAAAACCCTAATAATTAAAGCCATATATTTTGTACAAGGTTCAAATTATAGCTGCTAATGAACTAACCTATTTTTGTATGTATCACCTTAACAAAAAAAATTCATTTTCTGAGGGGCATTTGTTTCCTTGCAATAACTCTGTGATAGGACATTCTTAAAGGGTCATCTTCAAGGGAATCTTAAGGACCATATTTCAAAGCAAACTTGTAACGAAAAGGAAAGATGAATCTTAAGTGCTCAGTTTGTTTTTTTTTTTTCAAGTGATGCTTGTAAACCAGTCCATTTTAGTCTCCATTAAGATAAAGATGAAACTCTTTACCTTAATACTTAAAATCAGGAAAAAAAATTCTCCTCTGCTTTTAGGCAGGTATGTTCAAATGGCCAAACCACAGTCTCATCTGCAAAGGGTAATGCCCTGCAGTTACCAGGGTAACAGAGTCTGGTCCAGTGCCCTCCTCCTACTGTATTTGGCTAGCGTGCGTGCTTATCTTCACAAAATTGGTAGAAATGTTGATCTTTGCTTTTCTCTCCCCAGGGTCATTCTCCTCTTATAAGGCTTGTGGGGGAGAAAAGGCAGACGTGCGGGTGTCCCTCCAGCATCTGAGTCTCTCAAGAGTCTCTCAAGACGCAGAGGGCTCCCCCAGAGCTGCATTCTTGCTCTCTTCCCCCCACCCCCTGACTTCAACAATACAGGATTCTTTACTCAGAGTTCCTGATGGGTAGCTCCCAGTGTGGGCTCCCCATTTGAAACAAGTTTTCGCGAACAGCTTCATGGAGTTGATAAGTCAGGCCTTATGGAACCCTGAGGATTGACTGACCTTTTTATTTGTTAAAAAAAAAAAAAAAAAAAAAAATCAGAACTGTATTCTCTGAAATAATGCCATTTGCAGCAACATGGATGGACTTAGAGATTATGATACTAAGTGAAGTAAGTCAGACAAAGACATATACCATATGATATCACTTATATGTGGAATCTGAAATATGAAACAAATGAATTCATCTATGAAATAGAAACAGACTCACAGAGAACAGATTTGTGGTTGCCCAGGGGGAGGTGGGGTAGGGGAGGGATGGATTGGGAGTTTGCAATTAGCAGATGCAAACTAGTATATAAGGAATGGATAAACACCAAGATCCTACTGTACAGCACAGGGAACTATATTCAATATCCTGTAATAAACCATAATGGAAAAGAAAAATACAAAGAATGGTATTCTTTTTTTACTGAATTCCCACAGCTCTGGCTGTGAGGAATTTGACCTTTCAGGGGATTTGATGGTTATGTTTTTTATGCAGATGATCTAAGAAATCAGTTCTTTCTGTTTATTCAAGAGGAATGAAGAGAGAAAAACAAGATAAATATGAAAACAATTTACTCTTATCAAGAAACTTTTTCTGAAACGTTTGTCACCAAGTCAACACGTCCTCTGAAGGAGCACAGGTAGTTTTTCAGTGTTTTCTTCCCCACCGCCCCCCCCCCCCCACCTGTGATCCAGGAGGAAGGGGAGGCGCGTGGGGAATGCTCACCTGTGAGAGGTTTGTGTTTTCATTGAAATGACAAGTCACCAAACAGGTTTTGTTTCTTCTCTTCACAACAAGGCTCTTTTTCCCTGCTTCAAAGTATGGGGAACAAGTTCCCATATCCTTTCCTAATCTACTCGCTGGAAAGGCCCTGCTTTCAATATCTGAGAAAAGAGAAGGCAGGGCTGTCAGCTGCCGAGGCCTGGGAAAGTCGGAGCCCTGCTTGGACCCTGCCAGGGAGCGCCCCGTGCCTCCTGCTTGCTGACCACGTCCTCTGCGGCGCCTGCTGGCCCTCCCCGGCCAGAAGCACCCTCTTCTCTAGAAGAAAAAAAATGCTGTTGGGGAACAAATCCACCTGTTTGCATCAGAAAAGGCTGGGCGACAGGATGATGGCCAAAGGGCATCTCCCATCCCGCTCTTTTCAGCATAAAAACCTTTGTGAGTGATGGTTGCAGTCCTCCTAAAATGTCTCTTGACTCAAAAAAATATAATAAAACTCTTCCCTACACATTCCAAATTCGTAAGACTTCAGAAACGCCAGTCACTGCCGTCACCAGCAGGCTCCCTCTCCCTCCTGCTTATTGTCCTAGTGGGCACACGGATGACCCCCGGAGCCCAGTGAGGCTGCCCCACCAGGTACAAACCTGGCTCTTAATGATGTACTTCAGCCTCGCGTCTTATCCTCTAAGCTGCGTGAGCGTCCTATTCAACAACAAGGTAAGAGAGGGGTAACGTGGTGGTTTCCAGAAACAACCTGCAGAGCCTGAACGCCAGACAAACCCAGTATTCTCTGACCTGGGTGGGGAGAACCATAAGTCGCCCTAAGGAGCGGGGGGTGCCCAGGGAATCCTGCGATCCTGGGATGCCCTCTGCCTCCTGATTCCGTGGCAACCCCCTGGATCTGTCTGCCATAGGCCCCCACCAGCCCTCCTGCTTTGGGGGCACACTAGGGTCTAGGAAGCCGCCCTGTCTCCTGGTTGAGTTCAGGGTAGGTTGCTGATTCTCACTGCTTCTTCAGGATCCTCGAGGCCAGCTCTTTTCCCAGCTGAGCAGGACTTCTGAAGTTCAGGGAACGTTTTGTAAACCCATCCTCGTTTGGAGGAGCTCCCGGGTTTACTTTCTGGGTGTGGGAGCCCCTAGCTTGGTGGCTTAGGCTCAGGATTCTGTGATGCACCCCCCCCACGTCTGCCCCACTGCCCGCCCCCAGTAAAGGCGGCCACTGCGATGGCCCGACCAGGGCCAGAGGTAAGAATTGACATTTGGAAGCTGAGGTTAATGGAACTCAGTCATTGATAAACAGGTCACATTTCATAAACTTCAACCTCCAAGTATTTGTGCGTGAAGCAGAGCTGCCAAGGGCAGTAGTAACCTAAGTTCTGGAAATGCCTTTAAGAGGTGGGGCTGAGTCAACAGGGACTCCGTGTGTCCAGGGAGCTGGCAGCTCTGAGCACGTGTGTGCCCGAGGGTTTCTCAGTGGCTGGCTGGCTTCTGCCCTTGGCATACTCTGACGCTTTTGTGCGGCTAGACTCCCTTTGAGTATTGGGACATGCCTAAGAGGTTTGCCCTTGTTACTAAAGATGCTTTCGGGCCTCTGTGGCCTTTAAAGATATTACATAATTCCTCATGGAACCACATCCCTGACAAGTCGCCGTGATGGCTGTGCTACAAGGGTCTCTTCGGCTTCTAACTAGTTCTACTGTGCAACCGTTTCCTGGACCGTTTATTCAGTGTCTAAGCATTTTGAATTTGGGAGAAATAACCTCTGTCTTGTGAAGACAAGTTCAAACAGCAGGAAGGTGCAGAGAGGACTGTCCACGCAGGTAACATGGTAGCAGCTGAGGTGCCTCACCTTCCCTGGGCTTGGTTTCC